ATGAGAAGCTGGATGAATTTCGTCGAAATGGTGGCTGCATCGACCAGATGTTCAATTTAAGCTACTTACTGGAGCACCTCCATGTATTGGCGACTCAATGTAGTTGAATGCCGCGACTTCAAAAACGTTTTGATTCGGTGAATCGTTCGTTTCGAGGTTGTTGGTTCGGAAAGATGTGCCCAAAATATACCTGAACATCGTAACAGTGTTTTACGCTCACAGTTCGGGTAGAATGATGACATACGGTTAGTTATTGCGGCCTTCTAGTATTTCTAGCGAGGTGATCCAAGAATGCCCGCTGTCACCCTTCTTTCTTAACTTTAACATTGACGAAGTCATTAAAACTACATTCAGTGAACACGACTTGAAAGGTATGGAGTTGCTCCCAGCTAGTCGGCTTTCTGACTTGGGATACTCAGACGAGATATTCCTCATATTTGACAGCGCCCAAACTTGACAACTAGAACTGGACGAATACACACTAGCTGTCAGCCGTTTCGCGATATTTTGGGCTGTCCAAGTGCAAAGTTTTCCTTCTAGTTTGTCAGGGCCGACCTCGTGCGCTAAACCTTGAAAGCGATCAAATAGAAGTCGTCCAGAAAGTCAGCCACCTGTGCGGCCGTACCGGCGCATGTAAGTTAGAAGATGAGATCCCGAACCGTATAGCGAAAGATCGAGGCTCTTTGTGACGCTGGCGCGACTTCGCTATCGCACTGAAGGAATTTACAAAGTAACCACCTACTCAGCCCTAATTTGCGGTTGCGAAATCTGGACCATCAGATCGACAGACGTAGAGAGGCGTGATGTTCTAACATCAGTGCGTTTGCAACTAAACAGTTTCTGCTCGGCACATCGCGCAGGTAATCAGCGTGTTCGTCGTTTTACTTATGAAGCAGGAAGAGAGAATGAACGGCTGAAGTCTCCTAGTCCATGCACCGGGAGCCGAGGGCCGGATCACGTGTTGCGCATGTCTGCACATCGACTCCCAGGAGATGCGTTGTTTGCTCGACCGGGGTATGGATGGAAGAAGGAAGATAGAGATCAACCAATGACATGTTCAAAATGAATGAAGAATGTGTCTTCGCAACGGTCATCGGCTGGTGCCTTCTGACCCCCTGATTTGGTACCAAAAACGAGAAAAATATCTGGTGGGAGACAGCTGTTGAAAGAGAAGCTAAAAGTTTTCTCCTATGATGAAACTGATCTGGGCCTATTCGTTAGGTCGCGTTTAGCAGATGATCCTTTGCGCTTCGGTTACCGTTTTATGTTCAGTGTGGCAAACAATCCAATTTTCAGCATAAAGTTGAACCTCCCCAGTTAAGCACCTCTGCATATTGTCCACTTCAATGAGGTGACGGTTTTCACATGAATTGGACGTACAACAAGTAAACAAACGGAAACATGCATCTGTAAGTTGATCACCTCTGTAAGCTGCACGTTGACAACTTGGTCCGCAACACTCGTGTCTAATCTAATCTCTATGAGTTGACCATGTAAAGGTTTATTGTACAATGACCGCCAATCTTTTATTCAAGCAAACAACTGTGTGTGGCGGGACTTCGCAATGTGTGAAATTCTTCAAGAAATTGCTCAACAATTTTCGCAGGAATTTGGAGTTGCAGATCTTTAATCGTCCAATGGTTTACTAGAGAAAATTACAATGCGATGTAACATTTATCAAGGAGTCTTTTATGATGAAGTCAACGAAGTTTTGGAAGCGTTTGTTCAAGAATGCACCGAAAATTTCTCCGACTTCATCAAGCGTTTCAGAGTTGATGACCTTTTTAAAGCTGAAAAGTACGGTCTCTTTTACAAAGCGATTCCTGGTAAGAGCCTTGTAACAAATGGTAACCAATGCAAAAGCGGAAAGTATTCCAAAGAACGTTTTACACTTATACTCTGCACTGGCTCAAATGGAGAGAAGCCAAAACCTTTGGTCATTGATAATTCAGATAGACCACGGATATTCAGAAAGCGGAATCCTGCAAATGTTTCAGTCACTTGGCGATCAAACAAATCTACATGAATGACTGTTGTCATATTTGACGAGTGGATAAGCTAACTCGACTAAGAAACGATGAAGAAAATCGGTTTATTCTACTGATAGTGGACAAGTGTCCGAGTCATATCCACATCGATCATCTCATGCATATTACACTAAAATTTCTGACCACAAAAGTTCAACCTCTGGACCAAGGAATTAACAAAATGTTCCAAAAGAACTACAGAGCCCAGCTCATGCAACGCGTATAAATTCCAATTTTCTACATACCGCAAGAACTTTAGCTACTGCTTCAGCTAAGGCTCGGGATAGTGTGTCTTGGATAAGCTCCGCTTGGTACCAAGTTCAGCCCTAAACAAGAGAAGTGCATAAAGAACTCTGGATTCCGTCAAGCTCTTGATTAGTACTCTGTTGGTTTTATACCTTGCGTCTCACAGTACAGGTTTTGAGGAAATTTTGTTGAGATTTTGCTGAAAAGGGTGCTGGTTTGGTAATTTGCACTAAACCTACAGAAATGTAACTTTCTAGGAGATATTGACAGCGATACGCTCCTACGGAAATAAACAAGAAGCGCCTGCTTATGAGGAAGAACTAAGTGAAAATGACACGGGCACCACGGAAACATTGAAAGAGGCTGATGTCGTGGATCTTTTATTGCAACGGAAGTCATTTGCTGAGGAAAAATTTCCGAGCGTCCTAACGTGCGTAGCATGTGCTGAGAGAGCTTTTTCAGTTACCGTTGTGATAAGAAGAGATAAAAATTGTGTTTTTCCTCAAAAATGTAATTTAACTTGAGAAAGGTGCATTGCTGCTTGATTCACTACAAGACCGTTTGGTGGAAATGCTTTTGCTGTTACGTGAGACCCCGACTAGTATGTCAGAAACACTTTGTGAAACTACATTTCATACTATACTACTCAAAATGGGAACGTAGGTCGCGATAAGTTAGGGCACAGAACATACGTATGTGGACCATCTCATTGTTAACTACTTTGGTCCAGTCCCTTGGGTGGTCAACCTATGGAGATTCCACTGTATCTCACTTCACAAAGAACAAGCAGCTAACATAGGAACCAAAAAATTTTTAAAATGGACCTGTGCTGGATCTGTACTTTGGTTACATCAACCCACGGTTCGGTTACTTTGCTTCAGTCGTTATCTATTGCACAAGGTATCGTGTTCGTTGGTCAATAAGTATGTTCTCTCCAATGTGAATCGCACTCTAGATAGAGATTTCAGGTTTCAAAGCGTTCACACGAGGACTTCAAATTGATCAACCTTGTGGGTTCATAACTGCTGTGGTAAGTTTGTTCTCCGTACTAGGTGGCTTCGCCCTAGAGGCTTTTGGCGATATCCTTGGATCCTGAGTTTGAGTCACATTCTTGACATTTCTACCAGATGCGACCAAATAAGTAGGAGACTAGTCGTACTAGGGAACTTTTCGGGCGGTCAACAGCGAACATTTAGTCGAGGATTTTCTGGGTTATTTTCGCGAGAGGAACTTGAAGAGCAGCAGTGCAGGGGATGAATAACTACGAGATTCCGTGTGCTAAAAGCACTGATCTTTCTTGAAAGATATGTTCTATCAAAGCAGACCTTGTCTTCGAGACAAAGTACTGGGTGTGATGAACGAAGAATGGACACGACTGGTCAGTGTATCCCGCACCATTACAGCTGTAGAAATGAACTCATGTAAATCGCGCTGCATGCTCCACCATATGGCAATTTTTCCACCAACTACATTATCGTAAGATATAGTCCTCCATTTAGAGGGTAGTTCTTTGGCTGAAATTAATGCTAAGTCTAGAAACAACCCGTGCTGTTTATACTCTCGGTGTTTTCATGTAATGGGTAATAATTTATTCAGACAATGAGGCAAAACCATTTCTGAAAATCACCAGACACGCAAATCAGAAAAACGCAGAGAAAAGTTTAATCATTTGTAATTCAGAAGAATTAACAGCAAAACAGTAAAGAAGATGTAGCAAGATATAACGTATTATGTGTATAAGTATATTTTACGTGCATAATAGGCACAAGTTTTGAAGCCATTTCCAAGAAAGCAGCCCCCATTCATTTATGAACAGTAAGAAACCATTCACACTATAGTTGCGCCTCAAATATGTATTCATGCCCTTAGTTTCCGTAGTTAAATGTATATATTATCTCTCACACACATATGGATGCTTTCGACTACCTTTTCTACTAAAATTTCTTCACCGAGTGACTTGATGACAAGCATGAGTGCCGTTTGATTCTTGTAGTTTTAACAAATTTGCCCTAACCAAGAGTCCATCGAGACAATATTCCGTGTCCCGTAAAACCGCTTGCCGATATCTCTGCCAATACTTATTAGTACAGTTATTTTAAATCATTTGACCATTAGGATACGTGACGTACACTAGAAAACCGGAATTTGAACCGTTACCGTTGTACTTTCCCCTTCTTAGTTGAAGTTTAGCGTTTTGTTGACAACAGTTGTGCGTTATCGTAGGCGCGGACTCTACCAACGACAGTATCAGTCCATCAAGAATCAAGACACGAGTGACAGTTGAAATGAACTACAAAAGGTCTCTCTCGTGTGGTCGAAAGGACGGGATTAGTATAGTGGATAATTCTAATTAATGAAATGCATATCGACACACGGGATCATCCCATATTGAGGAGCTTTTGCACACGCTGTCCCATCAAATGAGTCTCTTTTCCTCGAAGCATATAAGGAGTGCGTAACATGGAAAACCCAATAAACTGATTGTTCATCGGTAAATCGCACTCACAGTTTACAGCAAGTTCGGGTAATTAACGAAAATACTTGACTGAACATTTGTAATATGTATCCCATGGTTGGCAAACTCATCATTCAAATAATGGCTTGTATGGTGCTCATATCACAAAGATATATGATCCAATCGCACCAGGTTTGTCGCTCTCGCTATGGATTGGTCAATCCCACTGCAATAAATGCATCGCCAAACAAACAAATTCCCGATTGTTAATGGTGTTATTTCAGCATGAGGAACCAATTTGTTTTGCTGGGAATTCTGATGTTGGGTGAGTCTGTTTTACCATAACTGAGAATGCGAGTACTTTGCCAGCCTAATCAGATGTAGTGGTTTTTCCTCAATGAGGTCCACTAAGGAAAAAAACATTTATTCTCCTAATGGGTGGTACACTTTCAAAGGGTGATAAACATAAGATTAAGGTCTAGTTCTGTCAGACAACTGCACAGAACTATCACCAAAACAACAACAGTCTGGAGTTCATAAGCTAGAAATCACTTTACTACCTGGTGTTCCACATTCAGATGCAGCTAATTATTTTTGAATATTTATGAATTTCTGTCAGGCACGGTCCACCTAAAATTATTTTGGTTCGAAGTACTTTAACATTTTCTATATTGACATATTTGCCTTGAAAGTGTGAAAATGAGAAGAGCACTAAGATAAGACCACCGCAAATTATCTCAAAGTGTGCCAGCAGAGTGTCACATCTCTGGCAATACAGTGAGATAAACGAATGTTCCTTGGTTATAAGTTAGTTTTTGTAAACAAACTACACAACTTGACGCATTTGAATGCGCCTCCCAATCTTTTGAGTCCTTGGTGAAATCAGTTGCGATTTACATGGTAGAGAGTATCTCACATGTCACCAAAAAGCACTGGACTACTAAAGGGGACAGAGAAACCGAATGCAGTCAGACACTGTAGACTAGGCGGTCTCTTATGAATCATAATACGGTGCCCAATGGAACCTGAAGATCGTGGGAAATACCAAATGCCAGTTCAGAATATGTGTACATAGATAACTTAGTGGTATGTATGTCACATTCACTCTGGAATGTTAAAACGTGGTTTTTAGGGGCTAATCACTTGTAAAACTTCCAATTGTTTCCTAACTTTCGTGGGTAGAACGGGACATTTTCAGTCGATCTCTCTCACCTATCAGCTTGTGTGTTCAGCAGAACACACTTCAATTTGGGTATGCAGCTTGTACTTAACATTTCGTTCTTCAATTAATAGCATTTTGTTAACTTAATGGATGGTTTATTTTTGAACCAACTTATTGTATTGTACTTCTGTTTAAGATTTTCATATATTGAAAGACTCGTAATTGCTATAACTTATCGGGTGTTTGTTGGAGTTTGTTTAGTTAGCTTACGAATTTTTGTTGTGGAAACGTCTGACGACGATCGGAAGATAAGCAATGAAAAATGGACGTAGATTCCGCCAGCTAAAAGACCCATCTGACACACGCAAGGTAGCCTTTCGATAAAAAGTTAAAATATGTCATTAAGTTAGATGCTTTACTTGTTTTAACAGTTCCGGATACGAGTTTTTGTGTCCGAACAGTGACAGTAGCTGACTAATTCTTTTCACAAATGATGAAGCAGCAGTTCTAGTTTAAACTGCAATTAATCTTCTCCAAATGGTCAGTGTAGCCCGCATACGTAAGGACAGAAAATATCTCGACGAATGTTGCATACCTACCAACATCTGCTTCCTGTCTCACATGTGAGCAGCAATTATAGTTTAATAACAGTCAGACACTCGAGTCTTCCACGAACATGCAATGCAACGAGGTAATCGCTACCCTGTTCACGACCAAAAATCCGAAAGGTTAGTTTATTCCACGTTCTAGAAGGTGCCTCCAGTGCAAATGTAAACCATTAAGCTTCTTCATGTACGTGGGTGCTAGCTTACGCTCTGTTACATATTTGTTCAGTACGCAAGCATTACTACCCGCGTGATCAGTGAACTGCTGATGCTTGACATATTGGTTGCATGGAGATTTGCGGTGTTTTAACGAGTTATTCAACCAACTTTTTATCGTTTTCTAAGCTTTCGCTAGCATTTGATTTCAACTTTTCCGTTATTTTAGCTGTCTCACTTGTGACCACGTACACCATAGTGGATGAGCCAGCATTAGATCCCATGGACGACTACGTGGAATCTTACGGGCCGCCACGCTACTACATCAAGCGTGGAATCCGTCGAATGCGCATGGGAAAACGGTCTTCGCCGAGATCACAGAAATCCGACGATGCCACGTACAGCGTGATGTAGGCACAGAAAGCAAACTGGTCTCTAACACATTGTGACGTAATAAACTGTTTAGCAGTAGCTTCGCTGTCATTTCTACCTAATCGCACATGCATAAATTTATGGATTACAATGAATTGTCATTTGCACCCACCCTTAGGGACGAAGGGCCGTGTTATTCTCTGTTGTTTCACAGAAAACACGTTACCACCGCGGGTAGGCTGGAGTATATTATAAGAATATTGAAGTTGGAATCCGAGAATGTTCCCGCCAGCAAACGAAAAACAATGAGTAAACCCAATCGCAAATCAAGGTGGATCAACTAGGATAATAAGTACCATGAAATACTAGCATATTGGCATTGACGCACGCAGGTCCGTAGATGTCAGGAAGCCAGGTAGTGCAGTTTTTCCAACCTTGTTTCTCAACTAATGCTAAAAATGTCCACCGTTAATATAAGTGTGGGACGCGAAAGCACACAATATCTACCATGAACGGCAGAGATTGTACACTGCCTACTGAGTCGGTACCTACGCAAGACAGGAATATTTCCATTGTTAAATGTTCTCATTAATCAGTCGGCCAAAGGCCAATTTACTCAATTCGTCCGCCGGTGGCGTTTCAGTGAATTATCTCCGAATGAACTGTGATCCGAAGAAAAACAATTGAGATCTTTTTTCCCTTTGCTAATTTTCCTTCAAACCCCATGATTTCACGTTCTGATAGTGGTCGTCATGTGATCATTGAGAGTTTGCAGATAGGTGCATTATTAGCCCGCTTGACAACCATGAGTGGGCTGAACGGACCTGTCAAGCTACGAAGAACAGAGCATCATTTGCACCTATCTGTGTTTTCACTATGAGAATGTTCACCATGCGTAAATAAACTAAGATCAACGGCATTGGTTGTAATACTTTGCGCACTTTACTGGAGCGAGTATTTTCACATAAGGTGTGTGCCATCACACTTGGAATTGCACCCAGATGGACCTCTCAGAGATTGACTCGTTAATGTTCACCAGCTTCAATATTTCTATGGTGCATGATGGGTAGAAAACAGCAGTTTTACAAGATCTAAGGGACAAAAAGTGCAAAATATATACAAATGTTATGGCGTAAAGCGTGAGCTATCACTGATCCAGGTATAGTTCTTTGTCATACAGATACGTAATATTTATCGCTCAGATGAATAATAATAATAATACCTATATTTCTCTTGATGCGAGAAACTACGTCTGTAGCGGCACAGATCAATTTGTGCAGAAGTATCCATGCTCTTACATGAGTGACATGCATAGATGGAATGTGGGAGTATGCGTTTCATGTAACGTAACAGTGTTATAATACGGACAAGAAAGCCAAGGCCTGACGAGTCCCGTGAGATGGTTTTTGGGAATAACGTAGTTCAATGAAGTTACACAAAAGGAGAAAAATGAATCTGTGAAATCACAATATTATCCACGTTAAAATATAGGTATATTCGTCTCATCTCTTTTAGTGCAGTTGTTGAGCACAATGTGTATCTTCGTCTTGTTGTCGCTAAAGGAATAGAAATCAGATCAAGTAATGTAAACGGTGCAAAGCATCGTCTAGTCGATTTTTAAAAATGGGTAGCGTGGGCGCGGAAGTGACAAAACTCAAAAGAGCGTTCCACGGTTGAGGAACTCGAAGGGAAAAATAATTCCGGTGGCGTTCCAGCCAACTGTATCGGGTGTGAATTTTGAAGTTATGACCCCTCAATTCTGTGTTGCAGCTAATCTTCAGGGTGTCTCGTTAAGCGTGACCGGGGTTTTTCAAAATCTGGTACCCAAAGATGAGCTCACTCCGTAGACGGCGATATCTTTCGCTATACACTCCAAGAATTATCAGTCACCTATGGTATCGCAGTTGGGACAACCCTTTCCCATTTTTTGTTGCTCGTCGCTGTGCGGTCTCTACTGCAACCAGATCGCGTTTTAACCATGATTACGTACTCTACATGGGCTTCACATACTTATTGAGCATTTAGGGGAAGATGGAGGGATCAGACTTACGACATGCCCTCCATAACAGACCAAAATGCTGGTTCGCGTTTTCGGACGCCTTCAAAGACGGTGCCAAACAGCCGAGGTCGTCTTGGATCACCACCCAAATGTCTCGCTCTTGTGAGGTAGTTTTCGGAATGTCGTCTCCAAGCTTATATGCGTACGTGGGCTTGTGGTGGACATGCCCAGTTTTACACCTGTCCATCTTAAACAGAAGTAGATTTAGTTTGACCACTCAAGAACGCAGTTAAAGTCTCGTGGCAACACATCGTGATCTTCTTGACAGTTGAGAACTGAGAACTGAGAACTGGTGCGAAGCAGCGAGTAGAGGTTGCTCTGTGTAGCTGCATCATTCGTCGTTTTCGGACATGAACTCTTTATTTATCGTTTCGCTCTCTGTACTTTGCCTCTGCAAATTGTTGCTCTAGTAGCATCTTGAATTTAGACACTGTGTTGGCTTCTACTATATGCTGATTGCCCGCCATATTTTGATGTAAGGCAAAAAGCAGGAAATTTGACTTGATGACACTCGCAAGGTCGTTAATGAAGAACCCGAATAGTCGCGGCAACAACACCGAAACTTGTGGAACACCGCAGTCCACATTAATTGGATCAGAAAATGAGCCCCGAACTCGAACCTGAAAACGCCGCTCCAAAGGAAGTTTCCGATCCATCCAAGGACACGCTTTCCAACTCCATATGCCTGCAGCTTTTGGATAAGGATGCAGTGATCTCTGCGGTCGGACGCTTTGGAAGGTCAAGGTAGATGACATCAGTGTCGATCCTACTGTCGGTTATTTCGGTCCAAATGCCACACGCACTCAACAGATTGGAAATACATGACTCATGCCGACGGAATCCGTGTTGTTCCTGTACTGTGATGTTACACCTATCAAAGTGGCCCATTAGGGTCTCAGCTATGATTGACTCCATAACCTTTATGAGTACCAAGCGGAGGATCACTGAGCGATAGTTGGCTGGCTCTGAACGGCTACCACACTTGAAAATCGTGGTAATGATGCCTTGCTTCCACATGCTAGGGACCTGCTGTTTGTCCAGGCATCTTTGGAAAAATCACGGATGGTTCAGCTATCCTCGTAGCTGCCACTTGCAGTGCTTTCGGGGGAAGGTTGTCAACTCCGGGGAACTCTGCGTGCGCAACAAGAGCAGATTCCTCAAAATGGTCGCTGAACTAAACGTGACGTGTGTAAAGAGTGACAGCTGGAAGAATGGGACAGGTATGTTACAAATGCTGTGAGCACGTCGGAAAATTGGGGCATATTGTAGCCCTAGAACTTTGGCTGCATCCTCGGCGACTTGAGCACATCCATCCGGCGACATTAGTTGAAAAACACCACACTACACATTCGGGAAGCTGTTCACATGTCTGTACAGAAGCTTATGAATAACACAAAGCTTTTTCGCTAGACTGCTGGTGTACTAAATTGTTCTCGCGCACAAGTGTGGTATAGTGATTACGAAGAATAACATAGTTAATCTAGTTGTCAGGGCCAGGGTTCGCTCTATGCACATGCCACGCTGCGTCTCTTACTGGCATGTGTTTTCGGGTTCTGCTCCGGATGAATGCTTGTGATCTTGAAGAACGAAACGGTTTTGTTGACCGATGCAGGTTTAAGCAGATCACTTTACTTGCCAGTAAACTCCATCCAAGCGCTGTCAATGGAACAGTCGTTCGGAAACTCCCAGATGGCATCTCCCACAAGTTTGTAGTGGGTAATTGTTCGTAACAATTTACTATGTGCTTGTGGATACTTCTCACAACACACGGTCGTAAATTATGGTTATGTAATCGCTCCGCCCCAGAGGGCTCTTCAGCCTTGGTTTCTCAACCATGAGCTCTTCGTTTATGAGCACTAAATCAAATACAGATGGTTTATTTCCGGCTCTGAATCGGCTGGGTGAACTGACATGGCTGAAGAGAGGACTGCTTGCATTATACTCTAGCAAGTCGTCCTTAAACTGCTCGTTGGGGATTACCGGAACTTCCAAATTATGAATATTGTATTCGCCACAGATGGGAACAAGTCTGTATCATCCTCCTTGGACTCTTCCTAAGGATAATGTCAGGCGGAAGTCCATCTCTGGGGTGGACATTGGGGGACGATAAACGACGGCCAAAAGGCGTGTCCTTGCGTCTCAGTCGTAGACTGCACCAGAGTGTGTCTATTATCCGCGTTACCGGATCGGCCACCGATTCGCACTGCAAGTCGCTGCCGTAGTATAACGTTACCCTCCCGCCTTTGCTAGCTTGATCGTTTCGGAGAAGGGACATACCATTTATGGCGACCTCGCGGTCGGTAATTTTATGTGCAACCAGGCTTCCGTAAAGAACATGAGATCCCAGGCTTGTGACGCTTGACGTAGCTGCAGTTCGGCAAGCTTGTTCAGGAGACCTTGTGCATTGGTGTACATACAGGAAAGTTTCTCTGTTCTTGGCAATGAATCGTGGAAAGCGTGTTTCGAACAAAATGTTGTGCCGACCGGTGTAATCTCGGCAACTAATCATTTTTGGGTGGGGTGATGACAAACTCACCTGTGTCCGATTCATGGAATCGACCATTACCTCTTGGTTTCTCTCTTTGTATATAATATATGGGGTGTTTGCCAGTTTTCTTGGCTGGTTGATTGAAATTACCAGAACTCTTGTCGGTAAGTGGTCTGACTCAGTGGCTGCTCTCATGTGTTTGCTTAGCAGATGCAGCATTGATCCGGAGCTCGGAAGGAAGGCTGCCCCAGCCCGCATATCATCCCTCCACTACCATTGCTGACAACTGTCTAGATTGAAGGACCACTTTCACAATCCTCGGGTCACATCCATTGTAGTTCGGAGATCAGCGCAGCCTCGAGATTGATTGCGTTATGACATTTTCCAAGGAGTTAGTCACGCCCTTGCTCCACGGAATATCCGGGAATATGCGGATGGAACATGACTCATTCCGGAGGCGAGCTGTCGATAACAGACCAGCTTCTGCTTCATTGGCGGAAGTCAACACAACTCGTAGAAGTCTTGGTTCACCGTAATGCTATAAGTTTGGATGACGGTTAAGGCGTGTCAAATTGACGGGCTTAGCTACAACACCTATAGTATC